AACGACCAACATGAACCAACCAGTCACCACACGAGCAAAATCCAACCCACACATCACGGCCCTCAACCACACGGAGAAGCCAGCAAAAACGACACCCACAACAGAGGCAGCCAACCAGGAGCAGGTATTCGAGGTTTTTAGATCTTTCATTTTTGTGTGAAATATTTACGTGAAATTATATTTCGGTATATAGTATAAATATTAATATATAACATAATAAGGATAATTCCAGTTGTGGTCCCTAATCTTTAAAGCGTTTGATTAGGACACCAATCGAAATTTTCCCTAAATTAATTGTGTTATGTATCAATTGAAGGTTTATTGTATTACTGCAGGTAATGTCTTTCATTCCACTGAAAAAAAAAATGTAAAACAGCAATTAATCTTCAGTTCGATAAACTTTCGAGCGATAAACATTAACAGGCACATAAATATCTAAATTAACATATCATTCTGTAATTAATTTATATTAATATTCTGTAATTCTTATCAATCACAACCCAAAAATGGAGACAATCTTCCCTTCCAGACATCAGAAAACTGCATCGTCCATCAATTTCTTTGGCTTAAATCTGTACAAATTCTGCAGAGCAACTTTGGGAAGAATGATCACCAGATGGTCCAACAGCTAATTTACCTATCTGCGGAGTAATTACAATAAACACGGATCAATGAGTGGCATTAAATATTTCGTTCGTAGGAGTTGGTGGTCTTAAAGTAAATCAGATACTCCTAAACTGGCATCATAAATAGGACTTTTTGAAAATAAGGGTATGAAAATAAGTACTAGTATTTATGAATATTTGTAAATGTGGGATTAAAAAGTAGTTTTTTTTTGTTTTTTTTGTAAATAGCACAGAACATCCCCACTTTTCATTATTATTGTAAAAAATGTCCCTAAAAGTTCTTTCAACTGTCAAGAACGCTTTCACAAAGTTAGTTAAACGTGCTCAAAAGCTGCTTTTAACTTTCCCTACTTTTCATTGTTATTGTAAAAAATGTTCCTAAAAGTTCTTTCAACTTTCAGTGCTCTAAAGCTGCTTTTAACTTTCCCTACTTTTCATTGTTATTGTAAATAATGTTCCTATAAGTTCTTTCAACTTTCAAAAACGCTTTCATAAAGTTAGTTAAACGTGCTCAAATACTGCTTTTAACTTTCCGTACTTTTCATTGTTATTGTAAAAAAAGTCCATAAAAGTTCTTCCAACTATCAATAACGCTTTCATAAAATAAGTTTAACGTGTTCAAAAGCTGCTTTTAACTTTTTAGAAATCATGTCAAACGGGCGTTAAATGTAGACCATTTGGGTGGCCTGATATTGAATACACCCACCTACAATTCACACAAATCTTTCCCTAAGCTACAAAACCATTCCCTTTGTTAGCTTTCCCTACAAAACTGGCAACTCAGCGGCGCCACCACCTGGAAATCAGCAAGATTTTTAATTCAACTTTTATTTTTTATTAGGACCCAGTTGCAATTCTCCCTAAATAAAGAGTCAAATGTCATAAGATAAAAAAAAAAAAAACTCTTTTATTTATCAAAAAAAGACTCCACTCATTAACTTAACAGCGAATTTAAATGGAAATGGACGAAAAGACGTTTTGCACAATCAAATGTATAATTTAAAGTAAAAATATCAAAAAATAAAAGTGTGAATTTTTTCCGCAACAACGATGAAAGATATAAACCCCTTTTTCTTTTACAAAAAAGCGTACACGGTAATGTCCATATCTTTGTCCTTGGATTGTGATTGTGCAAATCCCAAAAGAGGGAGTGAAAAAAGGTCAAAAGGAGGGCTTTTCTAAAATTTCTATTGGCCCAACAAAGTTGTAATGATGATAGTTGCCCTCTTCCATTTCTCTAGTCAATTTGGGGATTGTCTGGACCTTCCTTTGATAAAAAAATAAAATAAAAAATGTGTTCCTATTGTCCTAAAAGTTCACAAGATAATCTTTACACATTATGGTGGTGACGAAGATTCACATTTTGTTCGACGTGATTACAAGACTCATAGTCTAGATGTAATTTATTTAAA